ATATATGAATCTCACTTGATTCCCTAAGGCTGAGCTGATGGGCAGTGGCCAAGGCAAAAACTTAGATTAGAACCCAGCACTTGACTATGGCTTTGGCCAAGTCACTTCTCTTATGTGCCTCAGTTTCCTCATCTGCAGTGGGGTATAACCCCATGTCACAGAGCATTTTGAGGGTTCAAGTTAAGAATGCTGTTGAGGGCTGGAGAGATGGCTCAGTGGTTGAGAGCATGTACTGCTCTTGCAGAGGACGAGTTCAGCTCCCAGCACCTATATTAGGCAGCTCACAACTGCGTATAACACCAGGTTCAGAGGACCCAACATCTGGCCTCTGCAAGCACACACAAATACACAAACACACACAAATACTTTTTTTTAAAACAAAAGAATGCCGTTGAACACCTAGGGCAGTGTGTGCTCACTGTCTCTTTGTTGAGTTTCCCAACAAAGATGAGTGGGTTGCTAGGCTGGGCCCTTGATACAAAATAAGACAGGCATGCCAGGCCACATGAAGAGAGAGCCAGGCAGCTTTGGGTGGGGCCTATTACAACAACAGAAAGGAAGTGAGTCTTTGATCTGAGAAGAATGGGAAGCCATAAAAGACTTGAAGTGATATAGTCAGATCTGAGCCTTCAAAAGATATCTTTGGCTATTAAGAGAGGGGTGAGTTAGAGGGGATAGTGCTTCCAACATTGTGCCTTCAAAACAGTCACTTGGAGGCTGGGTGGATTACACCAAGCATCCCCTAAGATGCACTCCTAAACTCCCCAACAACATCAGGTCCTCTCAAGCCAGGACACAGCAGGAGCTGAGGTGAGGCTGGAAACCAGGTGAAGCCACAGCCACTTAGGAGCTGTCAGGTTAAGAAAACTTGAGTCTTGAGTTCCAGCAGCCACTCGTGGCTTGGGAGACAAAGTCTCAGCCTGCACAGGTACAGCATGAAGACTTGGCATACAGCCTCCTGCCCCTCCACATGGATGGGGGCCCTTGGAGGAGTCTAGTCTTAGGAAATAGGAGGATTGGGTAGAAAGAAGGATCTGCCAGTGGAGAGTGGTTCTGGTAGAGGGAAAAGAGCCTCCCTACAAATGATAAATATTGGTTGGCTTTCCCACAAGACCTGGGTTTAAATGCACAATATCTTTGTGGACCTGGACTTCATAAAGTAAAACAGTGGCTTTGATAATCCAGAGTGATAGTGCCTAGAGAGCCTGGCCAAAGTAAACAAAGCCCTTCCTTGGGGGATGGGACCTCATCTCAAGGTCTCTGGGATTAGTCGAACATGTGTTTGTGATAAAATTACAAAACAGATGAGGAAAGAAGCCACTGTGAATGACAGGCCCCAGAAACAGTAAATAGCAGAACTGCTTTCTCTAAGAGTCTAACATGCCAAAGTAACATATAGTTAATTGTGTTTAAGATGTGTAAAGAACCAGATACAGTGGTGCATGCCCTAAGTCCCAGCACTCAGGAGGCAGAAGCAGGCAGATCTCAGGCCCACTTGGTCTGCATATTGATATCCAGGCTAGGTGGGGCTGCTGGGAGACCCTGTTTCAAAAAAAGACCAAAAACGAGTGTAAAGAAGTTGGAGCTGAATTTGAATCAATACTGCCTAACCAACCAGACTTGAAAAGAATCTAGTGGAATCTCTGAAAATGGAAAACTCAGTAGGACAATTAGCAAATCAGCACATGTGAAAAGGAACTAGTGATATGAGAGCTCTGAGAAAATAAAATCTCTAAAGGAAGTACCCAGTTTATAATCCCAGCACTTGAAGGTTGGGGCAGGAGGCACTCAGCCTGTAATCTCAGAACTTGGAGGCAATTTAAGAGAGAATGGGTCTATTCTGGTAGAGCTGGTGGGTGCACGCCATCATGGAGGGGAAGGCATGGCAACTGGAACAGGAAGCTAGCCGATCACATGGCATTTACACTCAGGAAGCAGAAAATGAATAGGAAGTACGATTGGGCTCTAAAGCCTCAAGGCACATCTTCAGAGACCCACTTCTTCCAGCAAGGCTCTACCTTCTAAAGATTCCACAACCTTCCTAAACAGCACCAACAGGACCAAGTGTTCAAACACATAAACCTGGGGGAATCATTTCACATTCAAACCACTACAGCTATATGTAGCAAGACCTTGACTTAACAAACAGTCTGGGAGTGGTGGTGCATGCCTTTAATCCCAGCACTTGGGAGCAGAGGCAGGCAGATCTCTGAGTTCAAGGCCAGCCTGGTCTATATAGTGCGTTTCAGGACAGAAAAAGACCCCCCCCAAAAGAAACAAAAAAAAAACCAACAAGACAAACAAACATGGATAGGCAAGGTGGTTCAGTGAGTAAAGATACTTTCTGGCAAGCCTGACAATGTGAATTCAGTCCCTGAGACTTGCATGATAGAGAAAACTGATCCTACGAGTTATCCTCTGACCCTCACATGTGTCCTGTGGCATGTGTGTACCACCCAAACAAGAGTACATAAATGTAATTTAAAAATTAAAAAAAAATAGTGCTCAGGGATGGAGAGATGGCTCAGCAGTTAAAAGCCCTGGCTGCTCTTGCAGAGGATCAGGGTTTGAATCCCAGCAACAACATAGCAGCTAACAACCATTAGTAACTTCAGTTACAGGGGATCCAGTACCCTCTTCTGTCCTCCATGGGCACTACACACCATGGGTGCACCTACATACATGCAGGCAATACACTCATACACATTAAATAAAAATAGCAAATAATTATTTTTTAGAAAAAGAATATGCTGGGCATGGTGCCACACACCTTTAATCACAGCAGGCGGGCGGGGGCAGGGGCAGGAGGATCTCTGTGAGTTCAAGGCCAGCCTGGTCTACAGAGTGAGTTCCAGGTCAGATGGGGCTACAGGGAGAACCTGTCTCAAAAAATACCCCCCAAAAACTTAAAAATTAAAAAACAAAGCTATCTATAACTCCAGGTCCAGGGGCCCCGATGGTCTCCCCCACCCTTCACAGGCACTGCATGAATGGGTACAGGCAATACACTCATACACACAAAACAAAATAAATTAAAAACAGACAACTTTAGGAGACATGAATTATGGTATACAAAGGGCTAACAGACTAGATAGGAGAGCAAAGGAGTAGAGGCATTTCCCAATAGACTTCAGTTAAGATGATAGCAGCTTGGTCAACAAAATATGGAAGCAGGTGGGCAAGCGCTGTTTAGTAGTGGGGTGGATGATGGAGACCAGCAAGAGGGGTATGTCACAGATGCTGTCATTCCTGGCTTGAGAAATTAGGTGGAAATGTGTCACTCAATAAAATAGTATGATTGAGGGGCTGGAGAGATGGTTCAGTGGTTAAGAGCACTTGATTACTCTTGCAGAAAACCCAGGTTTGGTTCCCTGCACTCACATGGTAGGAACTCCAGTTCCTATCTATAACTACAGTCCTGGGGGAATCCAACACCCTCTTCTGGACTCTGAGGGCATTGCACACACAGGTGCACTATGTATATACAGGCAAAACACTCATACACATAAAATAAAAAAGCAATAAAAAATTAAATAGAGCCACGCGTGGTGGTGCACACCTTTAACCTCAGCATTCTGGCGGGCAGAGGCAGTCGGATCTCTACAAGTTTGAGGCCAGCGGAGGCTACAAGGAGACCCTGTCTCAAAAAAAAAAAAAAATTAATTGGTAAGACTGAGAGAGGACAGACTTTGGAGGCTGAGCATGGGATAAGCTTTTGATGGGAAGAGCTGCCGAGGAGGAGACATTAGAAATGGGCCTCAAGGTATGTATAGGAATTTATCTAGTGAAGAGAATTTATACTACCTTTTGAAGAACAGGGTTTTTCTTCGGCAAGGTTTGCAAACTTCTTTCGGGAACACTCTTTTTCAAATGAGGTCTCTGGAGAAGAGGGCTTTTTTTGTTTTTCTTTTTTTGTCTTTTTGAGACAGGGTCTTCCCAGCTGGCCTGGAGCCTGCTATGTAGACCAGGCTGGCCTCGAACTCACAGAGATCTGTCTACCTCTGCCTTGTGAGTGCTAGGATTAAAGGCGTGTACCACAAGAAGCGGTATTCTTAAATCATCAATGTCCAGGGTTTCTGGGATCTTCATTTCACCCTCATTTTTCACAGAGGAAAGTTGAGGCCCAGAAAAGTCTTAGTCTTAGACTTCATTCACGCATTCATTCACCTAATGTATTTATTAGAAGCCTGCTTTGTGCCAGGTACTAGGTCTGAGGATACAGTGATGATAAAAAAAAAAATCCTCCTTGTATTTTAGTGGAGGGAGACAGACAACAAATTTAAAATATAGGAAGGACGAAAATTATAGAGGTGCTGGGCATGGTGGCGCACTCCTTTAATCCCAGCACTTGGGAGTTTGAGGCCAGCCTGGTCTCCATAGCCAATCCAGGCCAGCTGGGGCTACAGAGAGACCCTGTCTCAAAAAGATCAAAAAATAAATAAAAGAGAAAAAAGAAAGTTATAGAGGAATGTTAATGACTGCAAAAGGGGTCAGGTATGTGGTGGTAAAGGTTGGAAGATAACCCTGGAGTCTGGAAGGCTAGGCTTGGGCTGCTCCTATAGGACCAATGTCCCTGTGTCCATTGTGACAATGTAGAGTTCTAGAGTGCAGACCTGGGGGCAGCAGTACCCAGAGAGGGACAAAGTGGTGGGCAGTGCCCCCAAGGGGGCAGCAAAGCCGGATGGGTCAGAAAGGCCACAAGGACTCCCTTTATGGTTGTGTAGGGTAAGACTTATCCACTCTCTGACTTCCTTGTCCCTTATCCTCAGCCTGGCCCTCACCCTGCCATTGGGTTCCAGATGACCCCCCTCTGCTCTTTCTCTCATCATTGGGAACCCTGAGTGGTGGGTCCAAACTGTCTCTGTATCCCAGTACAATAAAGGCAGCTCAGAGGAGCTCACAAAGGCCATCGAAGTCCAAGTAAGCAGGTCCAGCAGGCCAGTAAGGCTCTGTCCCAGCTAAGAGAGGCCGAGGGTCCAGCGTCATGTCTCTCCCCTCAGGTCTCCTGTGAGCAGCCTCCATGAGGCCCTGGAGCAGTGCATGACAGCCCTGGACCTCTTCCTCACCAACCAGTTCTCAGAAGCACTCAGCTACCTCAAGCCCAGGTAAGCTTAAGCCCTGGAGAGGATAGGGTACAGAGTTGTATGTGCAAATGTGCATGCAAATGCACACATAGGGATGATCTGGGTTAGAGGAGCTCTATGTACTGAGTGCCTTCTGCTTTCTGGGTCACCATGACCCTGAAAAGTCCTATTAAAAATGGCTCAAGTACCCCTCCCACAGCCTGTGAGCAGCCAGACCATCTCCACAGTCATGGGCCTGCTGTGTCTCGGGTTCTAAGATTTTATTACCACTGAACCACTTGGGGTATCTCCCAATCATCTCTAAATAGCTACTTCCTCATTTTAGGGACATTTACTGAGCTTTTAGGGTAATAGCGAGGGCTTCATTTTAAGCCATTTTACCCAGTATTTGCTGATGGGTTGTTTGTTTTTGAAACAGGGTCTCTAAGCTTACCTCTGACTTGAAATTTCCTGCCTCTGCCTCCTAAATGATGGGATTGCCAGATGCGTCACTATGCCTGACAGGCTGCCTTATTTTTAAATAATATGCACGTGTGGTTTCTCCTTTACTCATCGCTTTTTTCAGTTTTAAAGACTGAGGTATATTTCACATACTATAAATTCACATTTTATTTATTTATTTATTCATTTATTTATTTATTTATTTATTTATTTATTTATTTATTTATTTATTTGCTGTGTTTTTTGAGAGTGTCTCACTGTGTATCCTCAGCAGGCCTACTCACCCTGTAGACCAGGCTGGTCTTGATCTCACAGAGAGCCACTTACCTCTGCCTCCCAGAATGCTGGGATTAAAGGTGTGTGTCACCATGCCCAGCCTTTTTATAAAAATTTTATTTTACTCATTTGTGTGTGCATGTGCGAGTGTCACAGGCATGCCTGTAGCTCTTAGAGGACAACTCTTGGGAGTTGGTTCTCTGCTGCCACCTTGTGGGGTACGGAAATCAAACTCAGATTGTCAGGCCTGTGCACAGCATCTCTACGGTTGAACCATCTTGCTGGCTCAACATTCACAGTATTTACTTCTCACTTTATTTTCAAGAAATTATGTGTATGAGTGTTTTACCTACATGTATGTAAGTGCACTCATGTCGTGGAATGCTCACAGAGGCCAGAGAGGGCATCAGATTCCCTGGGACTGGTGTTACATATGATTGTTAGCAGCCATGTGGGTGCTGGGAACTGAATCTGAGTCCTCTGCAGAACCAACCGCGCTCTTCACCACTGAGCCATCTGTCCGGCCTCTTGTTCTGTATCTTTCCTGGGATTCCCCCCACCTTGTCTCCCTTCCCTTCAGTTGTGTTGGACTTCCCGGGCCAGTCATCTTCCAAGATCCTGATGTCTCTGCCTTCCCTTCTTCATTTCTTTTTCTTTTTTTTTTTTTTGAGACAGGGTCACCCTGTAGTCCCAGATGGCCTGGATTCACTATGGAGACACTGGCCTTGAACTCACAGAGATCCACGTGTCTCTGCCTCCTGAGTGCTGGAATTAAAGGCGTGCGCCACCATGCCCGGCTTTTCATTTCTTTTTTTTTTTTTAAATATTTATTATTTTATTAGTATGAGTGTATTACCTGCATGTATGTAAGTATACCTGTGTCATGCAGTGCCCTTAAAGATCAGAAGAGGGTGTCAGATTCCCTGGAGCTGTAGTTACAGGTGGTTGTTAGCGTCCATGTCGGTGCTGGGAAGTAAACCTGGGTCCTCTGGGAGAACAGTGTTCTTAACCACTGAGCCATCTCTCTAGGCCACTTTTCCATTTCTTTTTTCTTTTTCAAATTTTTATTTTCTATGTGGGTGTGGTGGGGTAGGTGAATACATGCCACAGCATGTGTATGGAAGTTAAAGTCATTTCTTTCCTTCCGTCATGTTAGTTCCGGGGATTGAGCTATGGGTATGTTATGCCACCATACCTGGCAACATTTTTTTTAATAAAATTTGTGGCACTATCTTCTTAATATGAGACCCTAGGAACAGAGTCTGGCATAGTAAGCACTCTGATATAGCACCTCTTGTCACCATTATCACCATAGAATATATTTCTTTTTCTTTTTTTTTCTTTTTTGTCTTTTTGGTCTCCCTGTAGCTCCAGCTGGCCTGGAACTCACTATGTAGACCAGGTTGGCATGAACTCACAGAGATCTGCCCACCTCTGCATGCGCTACCACACCCAGCCATATATCCCTTTTTCTAATGCTTTATTTATGTATTTATGTGTTTATTTATGGACCAGAGTAAATCTGTGAGCAGCTCATGCTTCACTCCTGTCTCTGAGGGCATCTAGGTGGCCCCAGGGTCTGTTAAGTGCCAGCTACTCTGGTTGTAGGCAAGTCAGACCCATCCTGTTGTGTCACTCAATTCTGGATCTCCTCAGTAGTATTTATTTATTTATATTTATTTAATGTGTATGAGTATATTACCTCATGCATGTAAGTGCACCCATGTCATGCAATGCCCATGGAGGTCAGAAGTGAACTTTGGATATCCTGGAACTGGAGTTACAGATGGTTGTTAGCCACCATGTGGGTGCTGGGAACCGAACCCAGGTCCTTTGCAAGAGCGGTCAATGTTCCTAAGCACTGAGCCATCTCTTCAGCCTCTCATCAGTAGTTTTGGAGGGCTCCTGGCTCCCCCTTTTCCTCCAAGTCATTTCCTGTCCCTTGTTGGCCATTGAGTCCAGACCACAACCACCTCCTGCCCTGAAAACTGGCTATCTCAGGCTTGTTCTAAGGCATCCCAAACACTGGCTTTTCTCCTCATTGCCTGAGGCCCAGCAAAGACAGTTCATTCCTTGATTTGACTCCTACATACTTGGGACCAATAGGAGGAATTCGAAGCACTGAAAAACCACTGGAACCATCTGGCACAGTACGCCCAGGCCCTCAATCTATGCTCCACAGGACCCCCAGACCCTTTCTTCTTAGCTTCCCCTTCTGGGTCAGAGGCTGCCTCTTCTCCCTCACTGTAGAAGCAGAAGATACCCCAGAGAAACCAGTCTTCCCAGGCTCCTTTTACCTTGACTCAAAGCTTCTGGACCCCAGGCCTGCCTGGCTTCCAGAACATGCTGTTCCCTGTGCTATTCTGTCTGAAAGCTTGTCTTCAGGAGAGCAGTTGGTGGCCTGTTCTTTGCATCCCATCTTGAGGCAACCAAAATTGATGTCAGAGCTCCCAGGGAATAAAAATCCCATCCCACCTGTGACAACCAAAGACTCTTTCCAGAAATTACTGGATTTCCTTCTACAGGGTAGAGACAAAGGTGCCTCACCACCTCCATGGAAAACCTCTCTGCTCCAGAGCAAGGGTTAACAACAGCAACAGCAAAGACCCCTTAGCCTGACTGGCAGTCATTGCAACTTCAGAGAAGGTTAGGGTCCAATTTCATTCGTGGTTCCATGTTGCACAAAGTTCTGTTTAGCTGTCCTGGGGAAGGGCACCCCCCAACCCCTTTGCTCCCATGGGCTAACTGGGCTTACAAGTTCCCTTCTCTGGTTGTCACATCTGAGTAATGCTGTCTGCGCTTCTGGTTTGTGTTACTCAGCACTGTGTCTTTAGGCACTGTCTGGAACAATGAGGTGACTGCAATAATTCTTCTTGCTGAATAAATGACCATGTTTCATAAGTGACAGAGCTGGGATTCAAATGCAGGCCTTGTGCTCTGCCAGCCACGCAGACTGCTGAGCAGGGTAGTGCGGTCACCTTGTAGAGGCCTTGACCTTTGCTTCCTCCCAGGGAGTAAAGAGATAGAAAATGGCGTGTGCAAAAATAAGTGTGTTCCAGGTGCAGGAAGCCCAGGATGTGCCTATGGGATGTCCTGGAATTTCTCTGACAGAAGAGACAAGGTTACCTGCTAAGTGTCAGGGGCCAGGGAGAGGAAAGCAGTGTTTCTGAGCAGGATGAGAGGTCTGGCTGAGGCTGACCCCCAGCTCAGAGAGCACCTGTCTGTAGGGTGGCTCCTTATACCACTGTTCAGTGGCAACTTGGAGGTAGTAGACAATTATGTGACCCTGGAATGGTATTCTTAACTGGGTGCAGCAGAGGTTAGAGAGCTTAGCACTGAGTGTTCTGGACCAGGTGGCCAGATGGTGGTGGCACAGGCAGGGCAGGAGGGCTGACAGGGATTTGACAAGGCTTGAACCCTGGATGCTAGTAGAGGAAGGAAGGGCTGGAGGAGCCTCCAGTCTCACCAGCCTGCTCTGGTGATGGATCTTCTAACACCCTCCCCATCATAACAGTTGGTCTGGGCCTGGGAGGTGGGACCCCTAGAGGGCATCATTTCACAGAGCTGGGTTTGGCTCGAGGTCCAGGTACATGTACAAACAAGAACTTGTGGAGTACACATGACACTCAGGGTATCTGAAGTTTGGGGATCACCATACCTCTGTAACCTACTTCCTACTCCAGGTCAGAATTGGGATCCTCTAGGTAGTAGGCTAGGAAGGGTCAGGATTCCTAGCCATAGGTGAGCTGTGGGGCCTTGGACCTCAAACTAGAAATTCCACTTTGTCTGCCAGCTGCTAGGTGAGGTGTCCTTCCTTTTGGGCCGAGCACCAGACTGGGCTCAGAAGGTGCAGCTTGGTGGGTAGGGCCGGGTACTGGGGACAAGGACTCACAGGAAGAGGAAGAGAGAGGCAGGTCAGGAGAATCGAAGAGACCTTGGGGAAGGGTGCTGGGCAACTGTCTGAGGGATAGTGTTGGTCCCACCAGGGAAGCCTCCTCAGGAAGAAAGGTTTGTGCTGGGAAGTGATTCTTGACCCTGGCAGGACATGGAGGAACTCACATTTTCTGAGCAGGTATGATGTGGCCCCAGATCTAAACAATTTCAGTCTAAAAGCCCAGGGACAGGAAGATCTCTGAGTTCATTGTTTTCTTTTCTTTTCTTTTTTTTTTTTTTTTTTTTTTTTTTTTTCGAAAAGACCCTGGCAGGACATGGAGGAACTCAAATTTTCTGAGCAGGTATGATGTGGCCCCAGATCTAAACAATTTCAATCTAAAAGCCCAGGGACAGGAAGATCTCTGAGTTCATTGTTTTTTTTTTCTTTTCTTTTTTTTTTTGTCTTTTCGAAACAGGGTTTCCCTGTAACCCCAGCTGGCCTGGAACTTACTATGTAGGCCACCATACTCGGCTTTTCTGTGTTCATTAGATTCAGAGAGGCTGAGAGACCTACCGGGGTCACAAAACTGATGACTGGCAAAGGCAAGTTTCCATCCTGTGTTTGAGAGACTCTGATGTCCAAGTTCAGCACCCCCACTGCAGATAGTCATCTCTCTTCCACAAGCCACTATCCTCAGGCAGAGCAGTCTGGGCACAGTCTGGAAGGTGTCCAGAACAAGCAGAACTTGGGAGAGGTCCACCAGCTTTTTGGTTCTTTGACCTAACCTCACTGGATGTGGTGGCACACACCTTTAATCCCAGCACTTGGGAGGCAGAGGCAGGCAGATCTCTGTGAATTTAGGGCCAGCCTGGTCTACATTGTGAGTTCCAGGCCAGTTGGGGCTACAGGGAGACCTTGTCTCAAAGAGATAAAAAAAAAAAGAGATCCTAACCTCTAGCTGGCTTGGTCGGTGTGGCAGCACATGCCCACAATTTGAGAGCTTGGAAGATGGAAAGAGATCAGGAATTTAAGTCCAGACTCTGCCTACCCCTGAGGGTCAACCAGAAGGAAACATCAATTCATTTACAGTTTTTTGTTGTTGTTGTTGCAGTTTAAACAAGAAAGGAACATGGCTAAAGTCTTATGAGTCTACAATAAAACCCTTTGCAAAGATTAGTCATCTTTTTTCCTCTTTCCCAATATTGGCCTGGTGCTAAAGAGCCTTGAAAATAATAGACAAAGGCACATGAGGAAAGGAACCAAACTGCCTCAGCCCCCTGCTATGCAGGGTGAGCTGCTCCGCTGGCAGCCTCTGTGGCCCCAGCCAGCCAGCAGTATCACCCAGCCACCAAGACAGCAGCCAAGTTCCAGACTGCTAAGTGACACCCCCAAGTGCAGTGAGCAGCTGGCCATTGTTCTGGCTCGCCCTGCCCACTGCCCTTTCCATGTTAGACTATCCACCATCTGGAACACCCTTTGGTCTAGAAGCTTGGGACTGTGGAGCAGCAGGGAGGCAGGAGGCAAAGGCTTCCTGAGACTGCTCTGGCTCAACCCTGCCATATCAGGCCACAGACGGAGATGAGTCATACCCAAGCCCAGGCCCGAGATGCCCACAGTCTGCAGAGAGAGTTGAGCTCAGCATGGCCTGTGTCTCATCATAGACACATGGTTCCCAAGGAGGAGGCTGGATTCTCAGGGTCCTGGAGGCTGAAGGCCTTGGGTGACTGAGTCAGGAGGCGCGGTCTCAGCTGGAGGAGCAGCATGGGCAAGGGCCTGGAGGAGGAAAGGTTGGGGTTTCCTTGGGGAAAGTGTGTATAGTTTAGTGAGGTCAGGGTCACAGTCTTTTTTATTTTATTTTTAAAATATTTTATTTATTATTATTTTTATGTGTATGTGTGTATTGCCTACATGTAGGTAAGTCCACCCGTGTAGTGCAATGCCCGAGGAGGACAGAAGAGGCTGTCAGATCCCTTGGAACTGGAGTTATGGACAGTTGTTAGCTGTCATGTGGGTGCTGGGATTTGAACCCAGGTCTTCTGCAAGAACAGCCAGTATTCTTAACCGCTGAGCCATCTCTCCAGCTCCTCTTTTTTATTTTTTAAAAATGATTTATTTATTGGGGAGGAATGTACTCAATTTGCACCCTTTTGTATGTAAAATAATATGTCCTACCTTTCTTTGCTAAAAAAAATAAAAAATGATTTATTTAGCCAGGCATCATGCCTTATGCCACTGATCCTAGCACTTGGGAGCCTGAGGCAGGTGGATTTCTATGAGTTACAGGACAGCCTGGTCTATCTAGTGAGTTTCAGGACAGGAACAGTGAGTTCCAGGTAGACCCTGTCTCAGAAAAGACAAAAAAAAAAAAAAAGATTTATTTTATTTTTATTTGTACAAGTGTTTTATTTGCCTGTATGTATAATGGTATGTGTGCAAAGGTCAGAAGAGCGTGACAGAGCTGCCATATGGGTACTGGGAATTGAACCAGGGTCCTCTGGAAGAACAGAAAGTGCTCTTAACCCTTGAGCCACCTCTCCAGCCCCTATAGACTTTAAAAAAAATAAATTTAAGCCGGGCATGGTGGCGTGTGCCTTTAATCCCAGCACTTGAGAGGCAGAGGCAGGGTGGATCTTTGTGAGTTCAAGGCCAGCCTGGTCTACATAGTGAGTTCCAGGACAGCTGGGGTTACAGGGAGACCCTGTCTCAAAAACACACACACAAAAAAAACTTATTTAATTTATTTTGTGGGCATGTGAAGGTCAGAGGACAACTTGTAGGACACGGTTCTGTCCTTGCCCATCTGGATCTTGGGAATCAAACTCAGGTCCTCATTCTTGGTCGCAAGCACCTTTACCCACTGAGCCATCTTGCAGGTCCCAGGGTTACAGTCGTGTGTGTCCCATCTGTGGAGCTGGGAGGTTCAGCCAGGTGCAGCAGGTCAGATGATGAGATGGGGGGAAGCAGGAATAAATGGTGAGGAGGCCCAGGTGGGTGGGGCCAGTAAAAGGCAGGAGCAGGAGGCAGACACAGGCACTGTGCTGTTGCTACCTTCCTCCCTCCAGGAGAGAGGAGCTGAGGCTCAGAAGATTACTTGAGGTTCCTCAGACTGAGGTATTTAAAAAAAGATTTTATTTTTATTTTATGTGTATGAATGTTTTCCCTACATGTATATGAGTACACCACATGTGTATGATGCCCTTGGAGGCCAGAAGAGGGAGGGCATTTAATCCCCTGGAACTGGAGTTACAGATGGCTGTTAGCCACTAGGTGGGTGCTGGGAACTGAGCCTGGGTTCTCTGCAAGAGCAGTCAGTGCTTCTAACTGCTGAGCCATCTCTCCAGCCCATGGATGGAGGTCTTTTGAGTAGCAGTGAAAGGGTCAGACATTGGACAAGTGAACCCCTTCCTGGACCTGTGTCCCCAGGCAAAACTGGACAAGATGCACATGACGTGCAGCCAGTCACTTCCGGAATTCTCAGTGCCCCCTCTGTCCCACAGAACCAAGGAGAGCATGTACCACTCACTGACGTATGCCACCATCCTGGAGATGCAGGCCATGATGACCTTCGACCCCCAGGACATCCTGCTTGCAGGCAACATGATGAAGGAAGCCCAGTCACTGTGTCAGAGGTCAGGGCTGTGAGGGCAGGGACTGGGGTTTGAAGCACATCCTTTTGTCTCCTAACAAGACCTAACTAAGTGCCTAGTAATTCACTAAATGATGCTTCTTTTGGCTAAGAGAGGGCATTTCCCAAGCACTAAGAGCTGTCACCCTGGCTGTCGTCTTACTGTCTGAGCCAGTCCCTGGGGAGAAAATGAATTCTGGCTCTGCTGCTTTTTAACTGTTGGCTCTCTGGTCTCAACTCTCCTCATTCACAAAAGGTGCAATGATATATGCATCTTGGGTCTGTCCCGAGGACCCCAGTGGCAGGACCTGCTATGTAGCCTATTGAGTTTAGTCCAACAGTCATTGTTTGTAAATAAACTGACAGTCCCTAAGTGTTGCTGGTGGTGTGGCCATGGTGATCTAGGAGATCTTTAGGCCTGAGCAGCTCTGTTGTTTACACCACCTGGCAGGGACAGTCTGAGATATGCCATTTAGCACAAGGCAGCCAATCTGGAGGCACTGTAAGGCTTCATCCCAGAGTGGGAAAGTCTCCCGAGGGAGGCATTGCCTGAGCAGGATCCCAGGAGACCAGAGGCAGCAGCAGGGTCAAAGGATAAGAAAGCCCTGGATTAGGGGCTAGGATAGAGTTCAGTTGGTAAAGTGTCTAGCAGTGGGAGACTCTGGGTTTGAACCCCAGCATAGTGAAGGGAGAAAGGGAGGGACAGGGAAGAAAGGAAGCTAGCCCTGTTTGGGAGAGCTATGGAGTCCAATGTCTGCAGAATCCTTCAGGAGTGGCCTATATACCTTAGAATTCTTGAGAGTACAGCAAAGTAGAAAGACTGTGTGACCTGGGCTGGTCCCTCTAACAACCTCTCAGAATCACCTAAGATCCCTTTCCCTCTTCAGGCACCGGAGGAAGTCATCTGTGACGGACTCCTTCAGCAGCCTGGTGCACCGTCCCACTATGGACCAGTTCACAGAAGGTGTGGCACCTGGGTTTCCTCTCAAGCATGGGCCCTGGTAGCCCCGGGGAGGGTGGGGAGGAGAGTTAGTCCTCTGGTATCCCCAAGGGGGATAAGCCATGGTGGCCTCAGTGTTGAGACACAGGTGGCTCTGGACCCTAGGCCTTTTGAGGAGGTAGTTAGAGCAGGAGAGCCCCACCCCCACCCCAACAGCATCACCAGCTAAGCACTTGGAAGCCAAGGAAAGGAAAGGCTATCAGATAGACTGTGACCTTGCTCCTTGGGCCCAGGGGTGCTTAGAACTCAATGTGACTTTGTGTGCCCCAGAAAGTGTGGCTTTACTCAAGCCTCCTGCCTACAACCCCAGGCAGCTACAGGGCTTTGGTTTTCTCCTGCAGAGGAGATCCACGCAGAAGTCTGTTATGCAGAGTGCCTGCTGCAGAGAGCAGCCCTGACCTTCCTGCAGGTAGGAAGCCCCTCTGTGCGCAGGGAGGCTGGGAATTCTGGATCAGCATGTGGGAGGCTCTGGATGTAAGCCAAGTCCAGCTGTGACCTGCCCACTGAGATGAGGTACAGTGAACCGTGACTGGTGCTCCTGCCAAGGGTCACATGGCACAGGATTGCCACAACGCTTTGCACTCAATTCATTCATCCAACACTTGTAGCAAATAATATAGCAGGCTTTTGTTTTGTAGGTATACTGTGTGTGTGTGTGTGTGTGTGTGTGTGTGTGTGTGAGAGAGAGAGAGAGAGAGAGAGAGAGAGAGAGAGAGAGAGAGAGAGAGAGAGAGAGAGAGAGAGAGAGAGAGAGAGAGAGAGAGAGAGAGAGAGAGAGAGAGAGAGAGAGAGAGAGAGAGAGAGAGAGAGAGAGAGAGAGAGAGAGAGAGAGAGACAGACAGAGGCATAGCACTGGCTAAGGCATGCCACTGTGGGTGCACATGAGGAGGTCGGAGGACAACTTTTTGGGAATCGGTTCTCCTCCCTTGTTCCTGAGGCAGGGACTCTGGTTTCCGCTGTTGTGCAGTGTGCTCTGGGCTAGCTGGCCTGAGGGTTTCTAGCTGATTCTTTCGTCTCCAGCTCCTTTCTCTTAGTAGGAGTACTGGGATTAAAGAGATGTACCACTGCATCCAGCTTTTTAAGTGGGTTCCAGGGACTGAACTATGAGTCGTCAGACTTGCTTTTCCCCAACTTCCTGAATTTGTCATTTCTATGCACCTCACTCTACATAAGGTTGCTTCTTCTAAGGTTATATAAATTAGTCAACCTTCATTTCACAGGACAGCAAAGCAAGGGCTTACAGGTGTCCCCTCTGAAAGGTCACATGATTAGCAAATGGCGAACTGGGATTTGAACTTGGGTCTGGCTACGTCAGAGCAGGTCTTCCTGCCGCAGTGGGAGTTCTGAGCACTGTCACTGAACAATTTTACTAGTATTCCTTGGTTGCAATATGACAGCCATTATCATGTGTGTATGTGTACTGGGACAAGAGGGGTCATATGCATTTTAGTGTTGGATGCTATTTATCTTCCTTAGGTCTGTTTTAAAAAAATCTTTGGGGGAGGCAGGAGAGATGGCTCAGTGAATCTAATGCCCTCTTCTGGTGTCCATGGGCATTATATGTACATGGTACACTGACATTCCAGGCCAGCCAGGGCTACATAGTGAGACCCTGTCTTTAAAACTAGATAAATTGGGGCTGGAGAGATGGCTCAGCGGTTAAGAGCACTGACTGCTCTTGCAGAGGACCCGGGTTTGATTCTCACCAACCACATGGCGGCTACAAACTGTCCTTAACTCCAGTTCTAGGGGAATCTGAAGCCCTCTTCTGACCTCCGAGGCATTGCACGACACAGGTGCACTCACATACATGCAGGTAATACACTCATACACATAAGTTAAAAATAATAAATGAAAAATTAAAAAAACCAAATTAAATTAAAAAATTTTTTTTGAGATGGGTGTGGTGGTGCATGCCTTTAATCCTAGCACTTGGGAGGCAGAGGCTGACAGATCTCTGTGAGTTTGAGGCCGGCCTGGTCTACATAGAGAGTGCTAGCTGAGACTACAGGGAGATCCTGTCTCAAAAAGTTTAAAAAAAAAAAATTTTTTTTTGAGGCTGAGCATGATGGTACATGCCTTTATCCTAACACTCAGGAGGCAGAGGCAGGTGGATCTCGGTGAGATCAAGGCCAGCTTGGTCTACATAGTGAGTTCCAGGCTAGCTGGGGCTACAGGATGACTCTGTGTCAAAAAAAAGTGCGGGGGGGTGGGGGTGGGAGCTGGAGAGATGGCTCAGCGGTTAAGAGCACTGACTGCTCTTGTAGAGGACCCAGCAGATCTGGTGCCCTCTTCTGGTCTCTGTGGGCATTGTATGCACATGGCACAGTTCCATACATACAGGCAAAACACTCATATACATAAAATAAAAATAAATAAAACACACATATCAAACCAAAACAAAAGAACAAAGCTCTTTTTGAACTTCAGGTGATTCAAATCGGACCAATCCTAGTTTTTGGTTTTGGACGCACTGTACTAACCACAGCATGTATGTCATTTTCTTTACTTGTTTATTATCTCTCTCTCTCTCTCTCTCTCTCTCTCTCTCTCTCTCTCTCTCACACACACACACACACACACACACACACACACACACACACACACACTCAGCTAGTAAACAGAGTGTTCACAGTAATGCTCCTCCCCGGTGGGAAGCTACTTTGTTCATCACCCCTCCTTGTTACCTCCCATTCAGCTCTGAACAGCATATTGCTATATTTTGGTTGGTTTGTGCTTCATAAAGGCCTCAAGCTGGGTGAGACCTGAATTCTTCACTCGTCCTTGTGTGGCTGGGTAATATTCTCTTATGTAAACATGCCTCAGTTTATCTAGTCTCTCACAGGTGAGGCTTAGTTTGTTTTTAGTCTTGGCTTCCATGACGAATGATGCTGTAGACAGTCCAGATGACTGCATTTCCTGTCCGTCCATTTTCTGTGGGAAAATGGCAGCTCAGGAGTGGGGCTGCCAGGGAGGCAGGGGCTTTAAATGGTGAATTATGATAACTACTTGCAAACATTCCAAAATGGGACCCCTTCCTCCTCTCACACAGTCCTTTCACCTAGAGGGGAGCCCTGCTGACCATGGGGAATGTGTCCTTCACCCCACATCTCTAAGTGTGTGTGTGTGTGTGTGTGTGTGCGTGTGTGTGCCTTTGTGCCTGTGTGCCTGTCTGTCTGTCTGTCTGTCTAGGAAAGGTTGTTGTGGTGGCCTGCTTTGGCTGACCTCTGATTGTCCCTGACCCCCAGCTGTCATCTGGGCACAGGGAGGACCTTGTGTGACCCTCGGGCCTCTGGTTATGTGCCCTGGGCCCATCCTTGAGCTTCTCTCTCTTGCAGGATGAGAACATGGTGAGCTTCATCAAGGGTGGCATCAAAGTTCGAAACAGCTACCAGACCTACAAGTAAGTAGAGCCAGCCTTTGGAGAGCTGAGAACCTGAGGTCACAGTATTTGTTATCTGTCCCCTCAGATTGCAGTGTGAGAAGCAGAATACTGACTAGAGGCCAAAGGGAGCTCAGGCAGATTTCTGTACCCCTAGGACCTCCATTCTCTAGACTGTTATTCTCCTGGTTTTCTGGGTATACCTGTTTATTTGGTTTCTTTAAGTGACTTCCCTGCTAGGGAAAAATAAGACCCAGACTCCATACAAACAGCTTGGGCAGGCAGGGGCCATTTTGGGGATAGCAGGGGAACTCCTGCACATCTGTAAAGGCCCAGTGCAAACACTATTACTATTCTCCATTCACAGATAGTACAGAGAGAGAGAGAGAGAGAGAGAGAGAGAGAGAGAGAGAGAGAGAGAGACAGAGAGAGAGACAGAGAGAGACAGAGGGCTTCCTGAGGGCTAGAATCTAGAATCATTCCCACACTATCTCTGAGTCCCTCTGGCCAGGGACAGGCTGTGTTTTGTGGGTGAGAACCTGAAGACTCAGCAAGCACAGATCACTTCTACTATTCCTACCCCCTTGGCTCTGTGGTTCCTTATCTACAACTCTAAAATCAGATAAAGCTCTGAAAGCTCAGTTTCTTCCCTAAATTTTGCAATAGAATAATTTATTTCCATTAAACATTGAGACTACTTGCCATCTCTGCCTTCCCTACCAGGGTCTGTTCCCTACAGAGAAACAGTTTCTAGGGGCCTGTGCTGGGATTGTCCAAGGATAACCAGACAAGAGCTCCAGCCCCTCCAGTAGCAAGCTGATCTGTACCTCAGGGCCTTGGACATGCTGTTTGTTGTCTCTGTTGAACACTGCACGAGGCTAGCCCCATTTCACCCCTCAGCTTCTGGCTCACATATCATAGCTCTACTTAAATATCATCTCTAAAAAACCTTCCTTACCCCAGATGAGGTGGGCCCCAGGTTCTCCTTTTACAGTGATAGATAGGGACTGTCCTTTAGAGGGGAGTGTTACGGGGACAGGGCTGGATGCCCTCCAGTGCTTGGCACAAAGAAGCCTTTGGGTACTTGCTGACCAAAAGCCAGGAGGGAGGCTGTCTTTAAGCCTCTGTTCTGGGCTAGGGACTCTGTGCAGTTGGTGACTATAAGAAAGAGGGCTGGATTCTAGCCAAGGGAGCCCCAGGAAGGCTTCCTGACAGGTGGGGTGAGTCTGCTCAGTTGTTCTCACCTGGGGGTGACCATGTCCCTATTGTAAGACATTTATCTGGTGACATCTTGATTGTCCTGAAGAGAGGATCCTACTCACATCCAGAGGAAGGAGGCCAGGGATGTCTTCAACGTCCTACACTGGGGACAGGCTCCACTCCCCCCACAAAGAATTACTCAGCCTAAGATGGCAGGTGAGGCAGAATGCAGATGATGGGGAAGGTAGGGCACACTAGGGCCAACGTGTAGTTTAGGGGTGAGAAGCATGTCTCTGTGATGGGAGATGGGACAGAAACTCCTTGGGTACCAGCTCTCTGGATCTCCAGAACTCTAAATCCACCACCAGGGAGGCCTGAGATCAGCCTGGTAGTCGGGTGGAGGACTGGATCCCAGCCCTGCCCCAGCATGTAGCCAAGCAGGACTCTACATGTTCCCACAGGGAACTGGACAGCCTGGTCCAGTCCTCGCAGTACTGCAAGGGAGAGAGCCACAGACACTTTGAAGGAGGGGTGAAGCTCGGCGTGGGAGCCTTCAACCTGGTGAGTGGAAGCCCGACATTTCTACAGGGCCAGAGCCCCAGATGCAGCTCCCCTGCACACCCTTGTCCCAGGAAATACAAGGTCACCCTTTTGTGCCTTTGTGCCTGGCTGTGTTCTAGGCCTGGGACCCAGAAATGATTCTGACATGTCACTAGCCTTAAGGAGCTCATAGCTGGGGTGGTATAGAATGTGCTGGAGCCAGCTCTAGAAAGTTCCCGTGTGCTTCTGTGTGTTAAGTTGGTAGCTTGGACCCCCCCATGATGAGAGCCATTATAACATTAGAACTCGACAATCTGGGCTGCTTCTGTTCCACAAAGCTGGCTACTAAACACTAGGAGCAGGGAAGGAGGACAGGCTGGAAGCAGCTATGACCCACAGGGGACAGACAGAGCCAAGTCCTCTTCTGGAGCTATAGGAAAAGGTTCTTAGGGGAGGGAGATAGGCATTTGAGTTGGATCTGGAACGATCCACCAGAAGTTTCCAGGCGGGGAAGGGTGTTTTGGGCAGAGTGAGTAGGACAGGCTGGGCCATGGAGTCCTGGAAATGCTGAGCCTGCTCATGAGAAGAGCTGGTCTGGGGAGACTTGGAGGTCCCTGATGTGAAGCACCCGGGACCTCTGCAAAGGCTGGTATGGGTCTGGAGGAGGTGGCAGCTCTCTCCTCCCTGAGAAAGCCTTTTCAAAGGACAGGCCTTGCAGCAGGGGCTCTCTTCCCCTCTCAAGGGTGCCCTCCATGCACCCATTACCTCTGATCCTGCAGACGCTGTCCATGCTTCCTACCAGGATCCTGCGGCTGCTGGAGTTTGTGGGGTTTTCAGGAAACAAGGTAACCACTCACCAGATACGCTCCACCTGCTCAGTTCAGGGCTGGAGCTGAGCTGGACAGGATGGGCTGAAGGGCCATGGGGTCTGGGGCCAGACCTAGCTCAGACCCTTCTGTGTGTGATCCTGGACCCAGCCCAGATCTCTCTGGGCCTCAGCCTTCCCTCAGGGTTTGTGAGGCCACAGATCCTCCCATTCTGGCCCTTCACTGGGTGGAGGGCTGTGTGATAAGAGTGGGTGTAAGGGTAGCCCTCTTGGGACCTGAGGTCACACATGAGCCTAACACAAGTCAGCAACCTACTCTTCTCCCCTTGGTCACCTGCTCATTTGAAGGCCTTGAGAAAGTCCTTCTGTTCAGAGTCAGTTTTTGGTGCCTCTACCTGTGAGCCATGCAGGGGTGCCTCCTGTGCATCAGACTATGACGGGAACCAGAGGCCTCACTGAGGGCAGGACCCTGAGCACCAGCCTGGGTTGGAGGAAGCAGATCAGGGAGGCTCCCTGGCAGAGGTAGTCAGTATGATGGAAAGAGTACTGGCTAGGAAGTCAGGAGTCATCTCCAACCTCCTTCCCTTCAATTTGTGATGGTGGGCAAGCCCCTCCCTCTCCTGAGGTTCCTCTCTGTAAAACAAGGTGTTTTTCATTGGCCTGAAGATGCTGTGGGGATGTGTGCTTTCTCTGGTCCTTCCTGATACCTGGCATGCCCACGGATGGTGACATTATGGTTGACATGTTATTTTTCTCAAAATGACATAATTTTACCTAAATTTGTTTAAAGGAAATGTTACTATACAAATCCATACTATTTAGCATAAGACCATAATCATGAAAATAGCATTAAGAGGACTATACCATCTTTTGAATTTATTTTTATGTATATGAATATTTTGCCTACATGTCTGTGCAATGCATAGGGAGTTCAGAAGAAGGCAATGGATTCCCTGGAACTGGAGTTACAGACAGTTAGTTGTCAGCCACTGTGTGGGTGCTGGAAACCAGGTCTTCTGGTCTTCTGCAAGAGCAGCCAGTGCTTTTAACCATTGAGCTCCAGCCTGGACCACCCCATATTAAGAAATAGATGTCAGTCACAAGATCTGTATTTGAGTGTTGACTATCTATTGCAGTCATAAATGCGGGCACCCATCCCTCTGTAAATAAACCCCACCCTATGCTCTGTTTGAAAAAAAGAAAAGAAAATGATGGGTGTTTAGGTAGATAGATGAGAGGCATCTGACTAGACCGCAAATGGATGGACTTGCACTGGGGAACGTCTGGGGACACTGATTTGACACAAGACAGAGTATATGGGTTCCACTGGGGGGCCTAGAGGAGGGTGTTGGTGGGGATGGGGCTATAAAGATGATTCAGATTGTTTGAGATATTCTGTATGAAATACAAAATTTAATAAGAACAATTTAAAAAAAAAAAAAAGAAATAGATGTTGAGTTGGCCACAGTTTAGCCCAGTGCCACTTTTCTTTGTGAGAAAGGTGTGAGGGCTGGGATGCATGTGAGCCAGGGTCTGGGACTACCCAGGGCACATTCAGAATGCAGAGAAACACCTTCATTCAGTGCCTCCTAAAGCCTGTCCCTGAGCCCTGGGTGTCTATCTCCATTGCTATCTGTGACCCACAGCAGGAGGCTTTAGGGCCCATTGGGAGTTGCTTTCTGGAGCAAGCTTCTGGGTACCAGGTAAGGTCTCAGGAAAGTTGAGGGGGAGGTCAACCCTAACCTGCAGCTGCAGCTTGGGTACAGAAGGGCATGAGCAGGGCAGCTGTGGAGTTTGAGGCAGTTCAGACGCCCTTCCTAGAAAGAACAAAATATTGTTTGCCCAGTGGAGGGCAAAGACTACACATTGTAGGTGGGGTCTGGCCCCAGTTCCTTCCCAGACGAGTTCTGGAAACTTCTCCCCTAGGAATACTTCCTGGCCCCATCTGTGCCACAGCCTGAGGTTAGGATTGTCTGCCTCTTGTCTTTCCTCCTTCCAAGGGGACTGGGCCTCTTGTCCCTCCAAGCCCGAGACAGGGCCTAGAGTGCAGATGGGGAGGAGCTGTGGGGTGGGAGGGGCGGGGCGGTGGGAGGGGCAGGCAAGGCAGCCAGTTGCTGGGGTTCACGCTGGGGGCTGCCTCCCCCGACTCCAGGGAGCACAGTCGGTCACAGATGTCCGGTGGCTTCCCAGGTCCCAGCCCTTCTCTGGAAACCCAGCTGTCCTCTTGTTCCCTAGGACTATGGGCTGCTGCAACTGGAGGAGGGCGCGACGGGGCACAGCTTCCGCGCGGTGCTCTGCGTCATGTTGCTGCTCTGCTACCACACCTTCCTCACCTTTGTGCTCGGTAGGAGGCCCGCAAAGTGCAGGGCCGGCTGGTTCCCTGGGTGAGGGGCTGCAGACCCTGTCAGGCCCCCAGGACCGGGGCAGAGCCACATCAGCTGTCTTGGATCTGGCTTGTACAACACAGGTTTCCATCTGCGAAATGGGGCTACTTGGACCTCCTTGTGGTGGATGTGAAAATGCTGTCCCTTGTGGTTCAGGGTGGAGGCTCAGCAGACCTGGCTAGCCTCCTTGTGATGTCCCAGGGTAGTACCTACCCTGGTTTGTTAAATCCTCACGGCACTCCAGAGATAAGGAGAAATCACTGCCCGTTTCATAGAGGCAAAGACAGAGGCCCCAGGAAAGCCTTGGTATGTTGCTGGGGGAGCACAGGCCTCAGCAGTGGTAATGTGTGCTGTCTCCTCCCTGCCACCTCCAGGTACTGGGAATGTCAACATCGAGGAGGCAGAGAAGCTGCTGAAACCCTACCTGAGTCGATACCCCAAGGTTAGCACCCTATGCTGAGCAACTCCCAGCCCTCCAGCACCCTGTGGACCCAAGTGGATTCTCATGCGTGTCATTGCAGGGTGCCATCTTCCTGTTCTTTGCTGGTCGGATTGAAGCCATCAAAGGCAACATTGATGCTGTGAGTGATGTGGGAAGTCCCTTGAAGGGGGAGGTCCTAGAGACAGTGACCCATGAGACAGCAGGGTTGGGAGAGGGTTCTGACTGAGGTGTTCTATGGATGAGAGGGGATCTGGGCTTTGTGCTGTGGACCTAGGAAGAGATATAGGAGTATGTTATTCCTGGGGGATTGGGGGGGCTTAAGGGAGGTACAGTGGAGGGGGCTGCCTGAAGGAGGTACAGTCAGGGAAAGCTGCTGTTTAGGGTTTGGTGACTAGGCTGGACTTGGTACATAGTGTGTGGGGGATGAAGTGTGTTGAAGGGAGGGAGCCATGGAGAGGATGAAGAGAAGGGGATGGTCTCAGTCATGGCAGATGCCAGCACTTTGCCAAGTTCACAGCAGACTACAGTGCAGAGTCCTGGAGTCTCTCGCCTGCCCTAGCAGCATAAATAGTCCAGGCTTGGGTAACCATGGAAACTACTAGAACCTTTAACATTTTCTCTGAGACACAGACATTATTATATCAGTATAACATTAACACCTTCATGGGCTGGGAAGGTAGCACAGTTGGTGAAGTGCTTCCCAAACAAGGGGGAAGACCTGAGTCTGATCCCTAGCACCCATGTAAAAAAACCAGGCCTGTAGGTGTGTGCTTCTAATTCTAGTGCTGGGGAGGAGACAAGTGGAGCCTGGAGCTTGCTGGCAGCCTAGCCTACTCAGGGAGAAACCCTGTGAAAACAAACACGGGTTGGAGAGATGGCTCAGGGGCTAAGAGCAATGACTGCTCTTGCAGAGGATCTGGGTTCAATTCTCAGCACCCACGTGATGCCTAACAACCATCTGTAACTCCAGTTCCAGGGGATTCAATGCCCTCTTCTGAACTCTGCAGCCTTGTATGACACAGGTGCACATGCAAACAATACACTCATACACATAAAATAAAAATAATAAATAAGATAGTTAGAAAAACAAAAACAAATACAGCAAGGTAGACAGTTCCTGAGGAATGACACCAAGGGTGACCTCTGGCCTTAGCACACCTCTGTGCATGAACACACATAGGTACACACATCCATGTACACACACACACATACATGTGCCCACACACAGCAGTACTTTCTGTTATCCCTCCAGTGTAGCTGTGTTCTATGCCTTCATTTACTGACCAAAAATTTAGAGTCACACTGAGAGGCAGCCCTGGGCCCATAGCCTATAGACTTGGGCAGTAGAACCAGGAACAGAAGTCAGATCTCCTGGCTTTCTAGCCCCCATGTTAGCCTGGCACAGTGCTGGACCACCATGCCCTGGAGGAGGCCATCCCTGCTGTGGAGTTAAAGGTTGCAAAGGGCATAGCGGGTGGGTTGTGGCAGGATGGCCCCCCTTAGGCTGACCCACAGGTGCCTGCAGGCCATCGGGCGGTTCGAGGAGTGCTGTGAGGCCCAGCAGCACTGGAAGCAGTTCCACCACATGTGCTACTGGGAGCTGATGTGGTGCTTCACCTACAAGGGTCAGTGGAAGATGGCTTACTTCTACGCCGACCTGCTCAGCAAGGAGAACTCCTGGTCCAAGGTGGGCTGACACTGTGGGTCAGGGAATTGGGAGGCCAGGGCTGACCTGGCTCTGACCAGATGGGCCATGAGCCCCCAGACTAAGGGTCAGCCCTCTAACTGAACACAGATGTGTCAGCTGGAATCTAAACAGAACCAAACTTTCTAATAGGACTCAGGGCTGGGAAGAATGAAAAGCTGCGACAAGTAGGGAAACATTATTTGGTGCTGGGGATTGAATCCAGGCCTATACATGCTAAGCACACACTCTGCCACTGAGCCACATCCCTTCAATTATAATGTGTCAGTTAAGATGTTTAGTCACAGGAGTGGAAACATGATGCACATGTCCAAGTGATTGTGGTCCAATCAACTATCTGCTCTGATGGAACTGTTCTGTTTCTTCACCATCCTCCAGCCATGTGAATGTTTTACATTTTGAAATTTTTATTTTTTTATTTTATGTGTATGAATGTATTGCCTGCATGTATATAAGTGTACCTGTGTTGTACAATGCCAGTGGAGATCAGAAGGTGTCAGATTTCCCTGGAACCAGGGCTACTGACGGTTCGTAGCCACCATGTGGGTGCTGGGAATTGAACCTGGGTCCTCTGTAAGAACAGTCAGTGCTCTTAATCACTGAGCCATCTCTCCAGCCCCATATTTTACATTTTATTTAGTTAGTTCCTGGACTAACTAGTGGTTACTGGACTAGGCAGGTCTAAAGCACCCAAGGCTCATTTGCTCATATAACTGAAATTTCTAGGTATTATCTTACTCCAGGAATTCAAAGTGTGCTGTCTGGGCTTAGCCTTTCCATCTGTGATTGTGTTTTCACCTCTGATGTCTGTGATAGGTGGACCCCTTTTCTTCATATGACAGGCAAGGTGTCCAGGGGCCACTCACATCTTCCTCTTGGTTTCAGCTGAAGTCCACAGCTGAGCCTTCCTGTGCATGTCAGTGTCTGAACTAGAGAGGCAAGAGGGCTTCCCCATTGACTGAGAATAAGGAGGGGTGTTCTCTGGAAGGAAAAGGGGTGATGTACCTAGAAGCTATGTGTGTGTAAGGGAGGGGATATTATAGATAAGAACTACTGACAAAACAAATGTCTACCCACCACAGACAATCAGACTTGAAGTGTTGAAAGTATTGGGCATTTCATCATAGTAATAGTATAGAACTCTAAAGCAGGAATCTTCAGTATCCAGTCTGATACATAGCACGCCTGTTTCAGTGGCTTTATCCCTTGCCCATAGCAGACATTGCTAATCAGTCCTGGTACTCTCCCATGATTCTTGGCTGTGACCTTAGAAGCCTCTGCCAAGAACTACAGGCAGCTCTCCCTTAGCACATTAGGAGACGTCTTTGTCACCTGCATCTTGTCCCTTCTCACCCTGCCTTTGCATGGAAGTCCGTCTTCAGTGCTCTGCCAGGCAGGGGGCCAAGCTGAAGGGGAATTCTGGGGCAGGTGGGGCTCAGGTTTCCCTGAGCCCTCTCTGTCTCTAGCACTTGTCTTTCTCACCATATCATGAGGTAGAACCCATCATCTCCAGTGAGCACAGGTGGGACCCTGAGGCCCACACGGCTTTTGGTGACACACAGTGAGTTTGATGTCATTTCCAAGAAACTTAGGACTCTGTTTCCCTTCTTGCTCAAGTCCTCAGAGGGCTAGGCTTGCCCTGCTGCTTGGGGGTGTTCCCTCCAGCCCATCTCACACACCGTATCCATTCCTCATTGTTCCTTGAGGGAACCTTTTTAAACTAAATGTACTTCCGAATCCTTTCTGTAGAGTGAGACAGGCAACAGGGCCCACAGGGCCTGGGGTGGCCACACAGTTCCAGTGAGGAGCAGTGGATGGCCAGGTCTCCTAGGTGTCAGGAAGTCTGGCTGTGAGGACCAGCTCACTGTATGACTTTGGGCAATAAGTTTTCCTCTTTCTGCAATACTCTCCTCAGATGGATTTTCCTATGAAAAATGGGGCCCTCAGTTCTGGGGCCTCATCCATCCCTAATCTCCAGCACCTGACTGACTTAGCACAGCGTCCATCAAGCTTCCAACTCTAGGGATTTGCCTGTGACCATTGCCATATCCACCGCTTACTATATTTGGATCTTTCTTTGACAGGATTCTTGAAGGAGGGCCCCGAGTTTCCCCAGAACTTGCAGCAGAGGGCTGAGGTGGTGGGAATTTGGAGGTGAAACAGCTCAGCAATATAAAGGGGGAAAGGATAGGCCAGTGGCAGCCCTGAGAGACTCAGCCAAGAGAACAAGGAGGGCTTCAGGGAGGCAGGACCTCTCAGCTGAGTCTGGGAGGAGCTGGGGGAGCATGGAGGAAGGGAGCAGACACTGAACCCAAAGCAAGGAAGACAAGGGATTGGGGTGAGGGCACTGCTAAGATATTCTGTGTTCTCTGGGAGAGGACTTGTAGGATTGGGGGAGGGGTTAGGTCACAGGGTAGAGGCTTCATTTTAATATGTGTATGAGTGTTTTGCCTGAATGTATGTAAGTGCACCACGTGCATGCAAGAGGCCAGAAGAGGGCTTCAGATCCTGCAGCATTACTGCACTGACATTACAATTACCTAAACAAATAAAAAGCCTAACTCTTAGATTTTTTTTTTTTTTTTGGCTTTTTGTGACAGGGTCTCCCTGTAACCCCAGCTGGCCTGGAACTCACTATGTTGGCCATGTGCCACCACCACACATGCCTTAGATTTAATTTTTAAGAGTGGGTTCCCAGCTGGGTGTTCCATACCTTTAATCCCAGCACTTGGGAAGCAGAGGCAGGCAGATCTCTGACAGTTCAAGGCCAGCCTGGTCTACATAGTGAGTTCTAGGTCAGCTGGGGCTACAGGATTCGGCTATTGTGAATAGTGCAGTAACAAACATGGATATACAAGTAGATCTGTGGTGTGCTTAGATTAATTTGGGTGTATAGTCGGGAGTAGAACAACTAGATTATACACTAGTTCTATTTTTACACTTTTGAAGAACTCCCATACTCATTTCCACAGTGGCTGCACAAGCTTATATACCTATAAGCAGCCTATAAGGGTTCCTCTTTCCCCACATCCTCATTTGTGGTTGGTGATTTTCTTGTAGTTTTGATTTGCATTTCCCTGATGGCTAAGGGATCAAATATTTATTGTTCATTTGTATCTCTAGTTTTGAGAACTGTCCCATTTATTTTAGTTATTATTTTGTGTATATGATGCAAGTGTGGGTGTACTACAGTGTATATGCAAGTCAGAGGACAACTTAGTAGAGTCAGATGAGTTCTGGGGATTGAACTCAGGGTATCAGACTTTCAAAACAATTGCTTTACCTGCTGAACCATTTTTCCAACCCCTTGCTTTTTTGATAGGGTCCCATTTAGCCAAGTCTGCCCTCAAACTCACTGTGTAACTGAGTATAAACTTTCTCTTCTGATCCACCTGCTTCTACCTTCCAAGCACTATAATTACAGGTGTGCATCACCATGCCTGGCTCCCAGTTCATTTTTTGATTGGCTGGTTTGTCAAATAAAGCTCTTAAAAGTCATTTTTATAGACATTTTAAGGCTTTTGATTGTGAACTATTCTACTTGGTGCTTATTAAAATGTTTTTAAATTAGTGTGTGTGTATATATACATATATATACATATAAATCACTGCCATTTTTTAAATTAAAGACTTATTTGTCAAATACCAGGTATCCAATCTAGGAAAGAAAAAAAAAAGCTAGACAGGAGGTATAGTCCCTGGGACTTTGTCCATCCATGTCAGGGTCAGGGGAGGGCAAGGGTGACACCACATTAAAGGTTCTCATGACAGGGAGCCCATCACAGCCCACAAGACCAGCTACCCTTCTCTCCGGCTCCTGAGGCTTTGGGCTCCAGCATAGGTGGTTAACAGGTGGAGACTCCAGGATGTCCTAGTCCCTTTCTTTCTCTACCCCGGTATTTCTCTCTTGGCCACTGGAAGGTATTGCCCTTGACAACTACCCCAGCAGTCACCTATTTCAGAGGTTTGGCCACTTGAGGGCAGCATGGAGCCATGCACCTCTAACCCTGACCCTAGCATCTCTAGGTGGAACTTGAGGCCTGCCAGGCACTCTCCAGCTGGGACAGGGGCCCCCAATTTGTCTGTCTGGGAGCCCATGGGTCTAGCAGGCACGGTCCTGGGAAGACTCCCTGCTCTGCCCCAGGAGGTCTGGGGCCCTTTCAAGTATTCTCTTCAGGATGTATGGAGGTGTGAAGTACGTGGCACAGGTCTACCAGTGAGCCCTGCTAGGGTCCTGTTCACTCTTCTGGACCTATACTTCCTTCATATAGCCCCTGCTACAAGCCACCGCTGTGTCCCACACATGTCCTAGCTCTCTGCCTCCACTCAGGTGGCTCCCCTCAGATCTTCCTATGGTCCTTCAAGGGTCATCAGTCATCACTTCTCCAAAGTCCTCCTCCCCGATACTCCCACCCCTCTGCCTTGTCTCACCTGCCAGTTGCTTGGGTCCTTCTCTCAGTGGAGCCATGATGGACAGGCTTCTTTGTAATCACCTAACTCCCAGCTCAAGTCCTCTGTTGCTTCAGTGTCCTCCCCTGGGGCTTAGGGACAGTGTTCCTTTCTATACTAGACCACAGTGAGTTCTGAATAAGCAGTGTGGAGCTGTGTCTGGAGGGAGGAGGGAAGGTTGCTCACATCTCACTAATGTTGTCTCCCATAGGCCACCTACATCTACATGAAGGCCGCCTACCTCAGCATGTTTGGGAAGGAGGACTATAAGCCATTTGGGGATGATGAGGTTGAGTTATTCAGGTGGGTCCCACCATTGTGCTCCCATTGTAGGCCTGACTATGGATAGATCAGGATCTGCCCTTGGCTACCTGAACTGGGGTACTAGGAAGAGTGATAATAGGATGGCCATCCTCCCCAGCTCTAAGCTGCCTCTCCCAAAGTGCCTGTGTCATATTCCCCTCAGGTCACTACTCCATGCTGCTGCTGCTGCTGATCAGAGTCCTTTGAGTGCATTCAGAGGTTTTCCTCACACTGGTTTTGTCAGCATCCTCTAGCCCTCAGTCACTTTCATCTGGTCAGTAGGACAGATACAGATACCGAGGTCCAGAGGGTAAGATCCTTCTGAGCTGAGTTGGCTGGAACCTCCCAGAGAAGCACAGGCCAAGACTGAATCAAATGAACAGGATTAAATCTGGCCTTGCCATTACTTAGCTGGGAGATTTTGGACATTCCTGTAAGCTAGGAATAGCAAGCAGGATAGTTTTGCAAGTATACGATGTGTTTAATGAACCCGGAGTAGGACCCAGAGCAGAGTGAGCTGTCTTTCAAGTGCCATTCCCATTGTTCTCTGTAGCTGCCTCTTGTGAAGGGTCACAAAGATTAGCGAGCTTAGTCTGGAGTCTAGGATGAAGTCTAGAGCATCTCTGGTGGTCAAGATGAGGTTGGCTGGTTCCATTAGCAGAGCTGGGTGTACTAGGAGCTTCCTGGGTTACTGCTACTACAGCAGACTCCATGTCCCCAGTCACAAACTCTCCCAGAAAGCCTGAGAGGAGGTGAAATCCGAGATCCAGAGAGCTTCCACAGTGAATAAGCAGGCAAGGAATCTGGGGTGCTTCACCCATCTAGTTGTCTCCTGAGCCTCGATGGCTCAGGTCTGAGATCATGGCCACACCCAGTGGGCAGCACAGTAGATGGTAGGCGAGGCTCCAGCTGAGCCAGCTGTGTACATTTTGTTCTATCCTTGAAACAGCTGAGGAGGCGACAACTCAGGCGGCTGGAGTTAATTAAGGGTTTGAGCTGTTTGTTCAGCGTAGGTCCCTCCCCTTCTCTGGGTGTTGGTCTAGCCTGTGAAACTGGGATTACACCTTTATGGGCCCTCCCAGGAAAGCCTGGGAGTGGGGAGGAGATAAGTAGGAGGCAGTGCAGGTCCAGATGTCTGGGTACATTCTCATCCCTGCCATTCTAGCTCTTGCCGAGCCAAAGAAAGCAGTCAGGCCATGGGGCAGAGGCTGTGAAATAAGGCCATGGCCACAGCTGGCTACCACATGGAAGGCTCTTTACAGTCCAGTATTCTCCTTATACAGTGGGGAAACTGGCCCCACTGAGGCCCAGACAGGGACAAGAAGAGGATGAGAATACTGTTCTCTCATTAAGCCTGGGGCCCACACGTGCTAGGCAGGAGCTCTACCTCAGAGCTGCACACCCTCAACCCTTCTTTCCTCATTTCTTTTCCAGGGCTGTGCCAGGTTTGAAGCTCAAGATTGCTGGGAAATCTCTACCCACGGAGAAGTTTGCCATCAGGAAGTCCAGGCGCTACCTCTCTCCCAACCCTGTCTCATTGCCAATACCTGCTCTGGTGGGTAGAAAGAGAGCCTCACTAAGCAGGAGGCAGACTGAGGGCCTGGAGAGGGTTTCACAATTCACCTGGGTTGGGGGAAGAGCTTAGGACATGGCCCAACCTCTGACAAAGCCTTGTCTGGTATGGGCTGGGTAGATGGGTCAGCAGTCTGCACATACCTCAAGGCAGGGGGAACAGCTCTAGACAGGCCATAAGGGTCTACAGAGCAATTTGAAAAACACTGGTCTAAATTTCTATTGTAACAAGAACCAGAGTAATAATTTTTCTAGAAGTTCATGTAAATTACATTCTCATCCACATGGTTTGATAATTTAGGAAATGTGACTTTAAATTAACAGCTATTGCAAATGAAAATTTAATATTCTGAATTTCCTGCCAGTTAAAGCAAGAAAAAAAAAAGTAATCAGGATGTTTTCTAATTTCTATGATGGAGCAGCGTCATTTAGCCAACACTATGGGGAGAGAAGGTGACAGTCTTAAATTCTGTTGCTCTGAGATGCTTAAGAAAATGTTTCCTTCAAGATGGGAGGCCCTGCCAGCTGGAGCAGGGAGGAGTTCATGGATAGTCTGGGGCATGGCCTAGTCCTCAAAGGAGGACCTCCAAGGGTAGATGAGTTTGGACAAGGAGGTGGGGACGGGTGGGAGCCACTGCAGAAAAGTAGCTGAAAACTGTCGGCAGCTGGGCCGTCCTGAGTCCTCACTGGAGGGGCAGACTCTCAAAACGTAGCAAACTACCTCCACAGTGTCCTCAAACCTACAGCTTCATAGGCGGGGAGGGGACATGTCTTAGAATATCAGGGCCACAAAGGCCTTGAAAGCCTCTGATCTGAGATGTCCAGTTTACAGATAGGAAACTAGAGGCCCTGTTGAGATACTTAGGACTGACTTGCCCCACTTACACCCTCAGGAAATGATGTACATCTGGAATGGATATGCTGTGATTGGGAAGCAGCCGACGCTCACAGACGGGATGCTTGAGGTCATCACTAAGGCTGAAGAGATGCTGGCAGCTGGCCAAGGTGACTACCCTCAGGCTCTTAAACCTGCTAGGCTAGGTCAGGTCTTTATAGCTGAAGGCTCCTCTGCCAAAAATGTCCTTCCTCATTTCTCGGTCCTGGTAACCACTGCATTTTAGACCTTCACATCAGCTCCTCTGAGCACGTCTCCCTTGACTCCTGGTGCAAGGCCTTCTCTTGGGCTTCCTTCAGTCACTCCTAATTCACTCTGTTGTCAGTCTCTCAGTATCTGTCTTTCCTCAGTATCTGAGTCCCCTGGGTTCCACAGAGGAGAGGCTCCCTGAGTAACTGTTGCAGAAGTGAACAAGCCTATCTTCTTTCTCCCCAAAACCCTCTTCTCAGAGAATGAGTACTCAGCTGATGATGAGTGTTTGGTCAAATTGTTGAAAGGGCTGTGTCTGAAATACCTGGGCCGTATCCAGGAGGCAGAAGAGAATTTCAGGAGCATCTCTATCAAGTAAGTGCCTCTGGTTGTTCCCACTAGTCCTGGGTAGAATTTTCAGTGTCTGCATCCTCTCACTATAGTGGTATAGTGGCTGCTTCTAGCCAACCTCATTCATGGCATATGTGACAGGACATGTGCTGGCCTCGGGTGGGGGGCACAGATAATTCAGACTCAGCACAACCCCCCCCAAGGGCTGACAAATTGTTTATCACAATGTGCTTATCCATGATCTTGTCCACTAAACAGTTCCCTGTAGTCTGTAATACAGCCCTTGACCATGACCATGTGGGTAGCACACAGGTTAGAGGCAAGAGCTGTCGAAGGCCCAGTGTAGGACTCAGGAGGTCTGTCCTGGAAAGAAGCTGAGGAACAGAGGTACCCAGCAGAGGCCCCTAAATCTAATGGGAGCTAATGAGAAAGGCTATCAGGTTGACATTTAAATTTGGAAGTTAGGAGGCAGACAGAGCAGTGGAGGGTTTTTTTTTTTAATATATATTTTTAAAAATTTTTATTCATTATTTTTATTTCATGTGCATGCGTGTATTGCCTGCATGTAGGTAAGTGCACCTGTGTCATGCAATGCCCACGGAGGTCAGAAGAGGTTGTCAGATCCCCTGGGACTGGAGTTACGGACAGTTGTTAGCTGCTATGTGGGTGCTGGGATTTGAACCCAGGTCTTCTGTAAGAACAACCAGTATTCTTAACCACTGAGCCATCTCTCCAGCCCCTGGAGAAGGTTTTTAAATGAAATGTGCCTGGACATGGTAAATCCCTGAGACTGATGACAGTAGTTGAGGACCGTCCCTGCCTGAGTGATATTATAGAAAGGTCAGGCTAATAAAGGCCTTGATGTCTTCAGAGCTAAACTTTACCCTGCATATAGGAGATCAGGAAGGTTATTGAACAGGGTAGACCATGTTTTAAGTATGTCTCCAAGGCCCTGTGGAGTATGGGTCAGAGGGGCCAGAGTAGGGAACAAACTTCCCAGTTTAGTAAACCATTCATGTGGAGAAATAGGGGTTGGGACTGAGGCGGGGGGCGGGGGGGCTAAGGACATGACAGGTGTCATAGGAGGTCAGGGGGCTGGGGCCCCAGGGCACAGGAACTGAGAGGATCCCAGTCTTTCTAAACTGAGAAGGCTGTGGAGGACCTGAAGGATATCTCAAGGGCAAAGCCCAAGAGCCACGTCTGCCTCTGTTGTGCAGTGAAAAGAAGATTAAATATGACCACTACCTGATTCCGAATGCTCTCCTGGAGCTGGCCCTGCTGTTTATGGAGCAAGGCAGAAACGAAGAGGCCATCAAACTCCTAGACTCTGCCAAGTAAGGCTTGAGTAACCCCATCTGTCCTATCTGTGCTCTCTGAGCTGAGATGCTCAGAAGCTGACTGGGGAGCAGAGGAGCCCAGGCAACAGCGAGGCTGCTGGCAAGGGCGGTACCCTGGGAGCCCAGCTCTGACCTGCCACCTGAGGGCTTTTCCCTGTTTACAAATGAACTGCTGGAATTTGAGACAGGAAGTGAGCTGCCAAGGGCTCACCCTACTAAGCCAGCTGCAGGGCTGCCTTTCAACTCAAGGACCCTGCAGGATCAAGGGTGGTTCCAGAGGGCATGATGGGGGGGGGGACGACGGGGGACTACATACCCTTTTGACTAAGCCTTCCATTGGGCTCAACCCTTCCTTAGGACCCTGAAGGAGCTAAAACCTTCCTTAGCTTTCAGGTTTGTTGGGGGATAAGGGTGGTGATGGTGAAGGTAGTGGTGGTTTGTGACTCATATAGCACACACCTCCCAGAATAGCCAAGCTTCATGTGTCTGATTCTCTGCTCATTTCTAGGCAAAACTACAAGAATTACTCCATGGAATCAAGAACGCATTTTCGCATCCAGGCGGCTACACTTCAGGCCAAATCTTCCCTAGAGGATGGCAGCAGATCCATAGTGTCATCAGTGTCCTTGTAGCTTTGTGCAGCACACCTGGGCTGGAAGGTGAACAGAGACAGCTGAACAGAGCTCCTGGAAACATTTCAAAACCTCCCTTCCCCCTGCCCTGCCTCTCCTTTGGGGTCCACCGGTGCTCCAGGGGGATGGCACAAGAATATCTGTGCAGAAGCAAAGTCAGCATTTTCACTAGTGTGGCCAAGGCCTTTGCCAAGGGCAGAGCAGGTGGAGCCCTCTGCCGGCCCTATCATACATACGGGTACTTGTTTTTCACTGTGATGTTTAAGAGAATGGATGAACAGTTTATCTTTCTTTAGAAATGGGATTATAGTTGGTGTTAAACAAAAACAAAAAACAAACCAAAACAAAAGCAAATGTTTTCACCCCAGCTGATCTGGAGGACAATCTCTTTACATGATTACAAAGGCCAAACCGCATTTCAAACCTCAGCAAGGTCTTTCTTAGCTTCCAAGGGTAGAAAGACCTTTCAGAGGGCAGGGGGAGTTCCTAGTGTCTGTCTTTGACTTCAAAGTCCCTGGGAATTGGGCAGGGGTAGTAGACAACATTGATATTTACTCATTCCTTTTGTGACTTTCAGTTTACAAATCAAGCAGATATTTTTAATGAGATGAAACTTGAACTTAATCACTAATAGGGAATGGGGATGCCAAGGCCTGACAGTGTGACCCTCTGGCTGTATGTGCCAAAGCTAGAAGGTTAGTGGGCAAGGGGGAGAAGGTTCTCAGAAACCAGTTGCATCCCCATCTGAAGCCCGTGGGAAGAGCTTATGAAGCATAAAAACCTCGTCCTCCATACCAGGGTTCACGGATTTCCTTGCAGCAACTACTAGAATGACTATTCTTGGCCTACTGTATGTTTTACGATTTTTCAGTTAAAAGAGATATTTAAATAATAAAGTTTATACACTTATGAGACCATGCAACATCTATTCAAATAAAAGATGTGTTGAATTCTTAGGCAAGGCAGAAAAATCTGGATTGGATGCTGACTGGCCCATGCATGTTTTACTTAGAGAATATGATGTTAAATTTTTAAAAAAATAACATCAGCAGTTCAAGGTCATCCCTGGGAGAGTTTGAGACCAGAATGAGATACATGAAACCCTGTCCCGAAACAAAACAAAACAAAATATGCACAGGAAAGACGTGGGAACACTGAGCTTAAATTAATACAAGCTAACGATCAGCAGGAACTAAATAGAGGTTTCCCTAAAGTCTGTTGTCTTCTGGCCCCTAACAGGGTCTGAATTTGTAACCTCAGCAACTGCTGAAGTGAGAATTCTAAGTTTACTGACCAGTTTACCTACATTCTAGTGTCAGCACAATTCAAACTAACCGTTCTCCTGGAGGGAGAAAATCATGTACACGATAGGAATATCTGCCTGTGACCATGCCACTCCCCAATGCATGAGTACCATCTGAGAATCACCGCAGCCGACTTGTCCGATCTTCTAGCATTGCTATATTTAGCAGACACTTAATATACCCCATACCCCTTGGCAGATGCTCAAATATACCCAGCCTCCTAAAAATGATAGTGAATGAAGTGGGTTTTAAGTACAGCATATTCTCATTAGGGAAAAGCCAGAACAAAAAGTCTTCATGCATGATTTTTTTTTTTGCTAGTTTTTTGTTTGTTTGGCTTTTTTATTTTTTAGACAGGGTCTCCCTGTAGCCCTAGCTGGCCTGGAACTCGCTATGTAGACCAGGCTGGCCTTGAACTCACAGAGATCCGCCTGCCTCTGCCTCTTGAGTGCTGGGATTAAAGGATCTTTTTCATTTAGTGCCGCCAAAGTGAAAAATGCTAGGAAAAAAGTCAGAACTACACAAAAGAACACTCATCACAGTCAGCAAGCCCTTTGCCAAGTATGCCCTTTTCCAAAGCCTGGGTGCTGGGAGATGAACCTGGGACTGTGGGGCAGGATGGTGCAGGGTGATCAGAGAGGTTGCAGAATGAGGGTAAGCCCTCACGGCCTCCCACATAGAAAATGGCCTGCCACTGTATCAAAGCAGCACTGATCAGGGGATACTAACATACCATTTGCAGAATAGGGTTTACAATGGTATCTCAACATTTCAAGGACTTTTGCTTTTATTTAAATTTGTCAGGGTCTTTCCTTGCTATCATTGCTGCTGATGCTGATGCTTTCCCAGGCCTCATTAATTAGACCACTTTGTCTGCTGCCCTGGTTGCAGTGATAACACTGGTAGTTTCTGAGGTAGCTACCAAAATCACTGAAAGCATGTAAACATTGGGTTTACATGCAGGAGCCTTTGTTGGTAAAATCCTGTCCTGGACTTTTCCGTGTCTTCTTTGAACCAATCATTTTGGGTCATTCCTTTGCTACTAACGCAGGCCTTCACAGCATCTCTGCCCAGGAGGGATGGAGGGACTCTGTGACAGCTGGGACACAGAGAGAGCAAGTAATTCTCACTCTGGAAAGTTTAAATCCAACGTCACAGATGAACTCAGTAGTCAGGGAAGTAGCAGTTGCCAAACATGAGCTGAAGAGGCCCCTGGCAGTGCAGTCTACCTGATTCACACTGGTCACGGCCCTCAGCCTGGCAGGCTTGGCAGGCCACTGTTCCTATCAGCTCTCCCACACACTGGCAGGCTTCCCTGTTTGCTTATCTCTTGAGTCAAGAGTGGGAGTGTTTCCAATAGTTATCAACATTCATAACAAAAAGCCACAACCTGACATCAGAGCTAGGCCCCTAAAAGGCCAGCCTCAACCCAAGGCTTCACTGAGGTCCAGGTGGGAGATTCCCAACAAGTGAAAAATGCACCAGGAGGCTCAGAAAGTCCCAGCTGCCGAAAGCCAGACAGTTTAACAAAGGAATTAAATCTACTTTTCTCTGGAGTTATTTCCACGTTCACTCATTCTAACATGGGGGCGGGGGGGCACCAACAACAATCTTTTCCGCTTCACCTATACATGTAGCCTGTCAGAACGCCTTTTCAACAACTTTTCCTGGTGTCCACACAACCATCAGTTAAGTCAAAGAAATGAGATGGGCCTCAATTCTGAAATTCAAGCAGCAAATGGGAACACCTCACACCTGCCCTTAGCTGTAGCTGCAGCTGCTCGGGTTAGTGGTTCCTCTGAAATCTGGTGCAAAGTTCATTACTGACCAATAGAGAAAACCCACAAAAACCTCATTCGGGAGTTTGAAAAGCCATTTCTAAATGAGCAATCTGTAAATTGCTTCTACTGTACTGTATAAAACCAGTTATTAAGAGAAACAACAGAGCTCTTTGAAAGAGGCACACAACTGCCAAAAGACTAAGGTTGCTAGAAGTCAACATTCAGACTTAAGGTAACAGCTAACCTCACAAATGATTAGATGAGAAGTTTTCCTTCACAGTAAGGACACGTCACACTATCAGACATCCAGCTGGGTGTGGTGGCACACCCGTAATTCCAGTATTTGGGGGGTGGAAGCAAGAGGATCAGGAGTTCAAGGTCCTCTGCTACATGGCAAGTTCAAGAGCCAGCCTAGGATATGAGACATCTCAACATAAAAAAAAAAAAAAATTCAAGACCGCCTATGCTGTGGAGGGAAAGAAGAGCGGACGGTATTACATGCTCCCTGTGTACCAGTTGCTATAAGCAACGCATTTATGTAATCCCTGTAAGTAATCTACGTAGTAGGGGCTATTAGTGCCACGTAATTTTTTTTTCTTTTTGAGTTCTTTGCCCTTCTCTGCAACTTGTGCACTACACTGACTTGAGGTGCTTGTGGTTTGGTGAGGAGTTCCCCAGAAAGGCAACATGGCTCAGTTCAGGCCTCAGGCACCAGAGTATATTCACCTTCAAAAATAACAAGTTTGATAATAGTGTTCAGATTAAGGACTTGTGTAAACTGGAAGAAAATTCACACTGGATAACCAGATGTGGGATATATATGACATACTTTTTTGTGAACTTACCTCTACCTTCTCCTATAACCATAAGGAGAGCAGATAATCAGCAGCATATTGGGGGCCAGCTTTATAGCAGATAAAGCTAATATTTATGTCTTAAACTTTATTTTGTGTATGTGTATTGCCTGCTTGTATGTAAGTGCACCCATGTCCTGCAATGCCCACTGAGGTCAGAAGAGGGGGTTGGATCCCCTGGAACTCCATGGAGTTAAGGATGGTTGTTAGTCACCATGTGGAACAGAATCCAGGTCTTTTCCGAAAAGCAGCCAGTACTCTTAACCGCTGAACCATCTCTTCAGCTCCTGATGTCACTTTTTTTTTTTTTTTTTTTTTGGTCTTTTTGAGACAGGTCTCCCTCCAGCTCCATCTCACCTGAACTTGCTATGTATATCAGATGGACTTGGACTCACAGAGCTCCACTTGCCTCTGCCTCCCGAGTGCTGGAAGTGTCTTCCTGGCCTGACGACACTTTTAAAGATGAAAAAACACAGGTTATTTAAATTGCCTAAGACCTCATAGCTATAAGTGCATCAGAAAGATTTGAAGCCAGGCAGCCAAATTCTAAAGCCTATACTGAATTTCTGGTCAACCTATTAGTAGTTTAAAGCCTGACATATTGAACCTTGGGCCATTTGTTGATGAAATAAGTGGCTAATAATTCCATTTTTGGAAATCTTGGATTGGTAATACATGGGGTATGTGTGATATGTTTTTCTGAGCCAATGGCACAATGAGGTAGAGGGTCAAACTTGAAAAAAGCCAAAAGAATGGCCCCCGATCCCCTAAAATACCCCTTATCAACATTTGGGGCTGGGAAGATGGCTCAGTGGGTAAAGTGCTTGCTGCACAGGTAGAAGGACCCAAGTTCAGACACCTAGCACCTGCATGTAAAAATCTGGGTGCGGAGGTATACACCTGTGATACCAGTACTGTGGAAGCAGTGACAGGTAGATACCCAGAGCTCATCAAAATAAGGTATGGGTTGGAGAGATGGCTCAGAGCACTTGGTGTTCTAGCAGAGGACCCAGATTCAGTTCCAAGTAATCACATGGTGGCTCGCAACTCATTTCAGGGGATCTAGCACCCTCCTTTCTAGCCTCCGCACACATGATATACACATAAAAATAAAAAGGTAGACAACAAGGTATTGGACTTCATCGTCCTGATACACACACACACACGGGGGGGGGTACTACATGTACGAAACCAGTGTTCATGAAATCATTGAGCGATGATGGAAGAAAAGCATAAAAGCATTCATGTCTGCTAGACAGGTTAGCTCAGCTGGCTCTGGTATAGTTGGGACAAGACTGCACATAACCGAGAAGGAACACTGTCAGATAGGGTGGCATACAACATCAGACACAGAAAAAGTTTTAAGGTTTTATTATGTGTGAGAGCATGGGTGCCCATGGAGGCCGGAAGAAAGCATTTGATTCCCCTGAAGTTGCAGGTGGTTGTAAGCTGCCTGATATAAGTGCTGGCAAGTCTCCAAACATAATTCCAGCAGTCCTGAGGCTGAGGTAGGAGGAATGCCCAGGAATTCAAGTCCAGCCTGGGCTAGAGTGAGACTCTGTCATAGAACACCAGCCGACTGGAGCTGGAGAGACGGCTCAGCAGTTAAGAGGACTTACTGCTCTTGCAGAGGACCCAGGTTCTGTTTCCAATACCCAAATGGTGGCTAAGAACCATCTGTAATTCAAGTTCCAAGGGATTCAACATCCTCTTCTAGCCCCTCAGGCACTGCATGCCCATAATGTACTTAAATGTGTAGGCAAAACGGTCATACATGACATAAAAATTAAAAAAACAAAGCAAAAATGAGCCCAACAAGCAAAATGTATTTTACAAACACTGAAATAACTACCACCTGCTGGGGTATCACTTTTTTAAGTTTTACTGAAAATTTAAAAAAAATTTGTGTATTTCATACAGAACATCTCAATCTTAATCATCTTTATACGCCCATCTCCACTGGCACCCTC